GAATTTAAAGGCTAAACAGGTCATAAATTGTGACTGATTGTGAATTCTGTCTGACCTGGCGCCCACTAGGAAAGCTAACAGATACATTCAGTCATTCCTTCTTCCAACCAGCTTTTGAATAATGCTGACAGAGCTGCAGACATGACCAGACATCGTAAACTGGTCCCTGCCTGGTCCATGTACTGGGAACCAAGGAAATCATTATGTAATCTGACACAGACACCATCTGCACCAAGGTTTCACTCCTCTCAGCATGCTGAACACTTGGTTTGAAATCTGAATTCTATGTCCTGCATCCCAGTAAATCATCACTATACAAACTGTGAAGTATCAGAAGCATCACACACCTAAAAAAGTGCTTGATGTTCACTGAACGGCTAAACATGAACATCAGGGTGCAGAAGGAGGTTAAACTCTGTGGACTCTGACAAGAGGATTAACTAGTTAACCAGCAGTGAACCAGCAATCAGTGATGATCCCAACAGCTCAGTTTTCTTCTAACGTGTTTTTCCTTGCAGTTCAAGCTTTACGTCTAAAATCTCTCCATCTTTGGATCCTCTGATGCAGAAACATCCAAGATGTTAAAGAGAAAATAATCCAGTGATTGAAGAGGGTGACTACTGGGTTCAGAATCTCATTTCATTTATCACAAACAAAATAATATGTTTGGTCCATGATTGGCTTCTTTAACAGGCTGTTATTTTACAACATATGGCGGACTTTCAATGGTAGCAGTTAAGTTTGGAACTACGGTGTGAATTACTGGATTAATGTTAGAGCAAGACAAAAATAAATTGTTTTTATTTCCATTATAACGAGATGTGCAATCACATTGAGGATGCCTCAAATTAACAACCATGCAATTGTTAGGAAGGGAAAGAAAAAAAAGGTCGGTTTAGGGCCATTTTTAAATTCCAGGTTTTATACAGTAGCCCAACAAAGCCTTGTTTTTGCCTAGAAAACATGCAAATTGAAACGGACGAACGGATCCACCCCTTTGGAATGGGGGTCATTTGTTTTTTGTTAGCCTGCAATGCCCCATACCTCTCTATGTCTCTGAAAGGGGGTTGTTAGAAGGAATTGTTGGCCTGGCTGAAAAGGTCTTCTGTTCCCCTGTAAAGGGGTTGGGGTTACAATGATAGCGGGATGGAATCAACTCTATTGCCTTAAATAATTAAGGCTGGAATATATCACTCTTTATGCAGATGATGCACTGATTTCTATTACAATATATCAAGATCATTGAACCAGTCTGGTTCTATTAAACAGAGAAGAAACTTCTCACCTTTCAGTGTAGGAAACTCCACTTAGATACTTGTCAATTTTACCCATATTTCTTACAATAATATTTGAAGTAAAACTAAGACTGAGATCAGTTTCTAAGTTTTATGGAGACTATAAAGTAAATCATGGCTGTCAGTCAAACCCTGATCAGCCTTCCTCCTCCTGCTTGTTTCCTCAATCCTCCTTACCGAGCAAAAAGTCTTGACTGTTTCAAAGACAACATAATGACACACCATCTGTATGAAGGAAGCAGCTGAATATTAAGTGAATGATAATGACTCTGACTAGTCACTGCAGCTTAGCAAGTGCCAGACTAGCTTTGTGTGGTTTCCAGGGTTGAAAGATGGTTTTCCTGACCTCATATCTCTTATAAGGAAAGCTTGAATAATGCTGAGACATATTTAATCTAAGAATCTTCCACATGCTTTGCTAAAACAGCAACAACAATGTTTACACTTGGAGGTTAAATCGTAATCTCTCCTTGGGAAGGAGGGCAAAGTTTATGAGGAGGTGTGAGAGAAGTAGAATGATCAGTGTTCAAAACAAAGAAAGGCCCAGCCTTTATTTACAGCTTATCTTGTGTTTAGGGCTCAACAGAGCAGAACAAACCTACACATTTCAGGGAGTCCTGAAGAACCAGAGCTCACAGCCTGATAGAATAACTTCTCATCTCCTCTCTGGGTTCTTTCTTCTTCCAGTGAAAGAAAATAAACAGAGTTTCTAATGTTGCGTTCTGTGCTGATAATGATAAAGATCACTTCAACACATCCTCACTGCTTTCAGCCTCAAACCTCAGACATTTCCATACAGAGCAAACATTTTAAAATCCACAGTTCATCACATTGGAAACATTCAAATCTTGCTCTGACAGACCGTTGGGGTAAAGTGGAAGTAAGAGGATCTAAAGCTTTGAAAACATGTTAAACATGAAGACCTGAATGGGTGTTTTAACTTCCTTCTGGTAAACCTAAACAGATGCCCGCCTTAAGAAGGAACCTTCCAGGTTAACAGAGAATA